ATAAATTCCCTTTTTCTATTCATAATAAAAAATATTATTTATCTTGTATCTAGTGAAATGTACCGGGCAAAGTTTATCCTTTATCTCAATTTTACAATATTTTTCTTTGCAAGAAACTAGCACGACTAGCGAAGTAACTTGCTGCCAATTAGAAAATATCTTTTATCGCACTTTCGGCGAAGTAAGGATTAACATAACGATGATGTCATTTCGAATATTGATAAAGAAATAAGATTATAATATGACGGTGATGTCAGAGAACTTTCGCAATCCAAGTTCTTTTTTGCGTATATTAACTCACATGCGAAAGTGAAAAAGTTTAGGAATTTTGAACGAGGAAAGCTAACCAAATCAAGCGAGAAATGTTAAAATGCGTTCTTCGTTGCACTGCACTGCTGTATTTTTAAAGAATTAAACTAATCTGCGAAATATCTTGACAGTTATGAGCTTGAAGCTTAAATTTCATCCGCTTCTGAGTTTAGTTTACACGCTATTACTTCAAGTAAAGTACACGGCAGAATAAAATAAATATCATTGGAAAGGTATATACAGCAAGATCGCGTGTGCAGCGCGATTGAAGCGCATGGTGGCAGTAGTAAAATTTCATTTAACACCGACGAAAGATCTCGCCCCGAGCAACAATCGACGTCGGAAAAGGTCAACCGCTGATCGTCCTCCGACGAACATTTCTTATTTTAGCCTCCCGATCTCTCCGGTTCTCTCCGTTTTTCCTTTTCTCTAAAGTGCAGGAAACTTTTCATCGCGGATCCAGCTCCTTCCTCGCATTCCTTTCGCAAATATGGTCATTGGATGGTCGAAGGTCGAACTGTTGTCGCGAATAACTGCGAAGGTCAATCTCTATCAACGTAAAATCGTGCGTCTCGGCGCTTCTCTGCCGAGCGAAGTGCAGGTTTGCTTTCACTTCGGAAGCTGCACAATCACGCACGCTTCGAGATCAGCCTCGAACGGGCAGATAGAAGTTACGCTTTTCATTTTTTTTAACCGGTTTAAATTTACAGAGAAGAAATCGAGTCGGAATGCAAATCAGATTCTCTTAAGAGTCGTAGGCGGAATACCGAATACCGTTTCGGCGCAAGGCAAAAATCTAATTCTGCAAAGCAAAATACCTCGCTACGAAACGATCGTAAATTTTTGAGACACAAGTAAGTTATAAATTTGTATGATCTTTGACGGGTGAATTTTACGGATTAAGAGCGGAAATGCGAAATGCGCAACTGCTTGCGCTCAATTTTCCACCTTACGAAGTGGAGCGCCAATTTTTCGCGGCACTTAAACGCAAATTGCACGCATGCATCTGTTGAGGAGCGGATGGGAGGATTGTTACGAGCTCCCAGTCGATTTTGCAATCGAATTGCCACACGCGCCCGCTCCTTCTCCGCGGCGCGCAACTGCGGCTTCAAGCGAGGTGCATTGCGAGCGCACCGCCAAGGGGGCGATTCGAATAACTGGTGCGAACTACGGTCCCCTCCTTCCTTCTCAAGAGGAAGCCGACGATCGTTCCCAAGGTATGCGCGTAGATCGCGCCCTCGAATGATCTCCTCTAAGCGCGCCCCGCTCGCGCGATACGTTCGATCGCGCGTAGATCCTGAGAAATCGCACGGCTGCAACTTTGCAACATTAATCTACTATCGCTGCGGTAAAAGGCGTTCGTTATATTTTTCCCAGAGTTGTCTGAATCACGATGTTTCTTTTTCTCAGAGTTATCCCGTGGAAATTGAATGGATTGATACTATAATGTACGATCTTTTGTTTTTCTCTTTTCCAACTGCGAGGGAAAGTGAAAAGAGGACATTTTCAGTCAATTTAGAAATTGTTAATTTCTGAACGTAAAACAAATTATTCTTTTTTAGCATGAAGATACGATGAAAATTCATTCGGAAATGCAAATCGTAAGATAAGAGGAAGTCGACGGTCGTTTCCAAGATATTCGATATGTGCGTAGATCGCGCGTAGATCCTGAGAAGTTACGCTGCCGCGCATAAATCTTCCGACTCATCGCCTATTATATTGAAGCAAAACAGCAAAACACAACTACATGCACGCACACCGAAGTGAGATTATGCAGATAAAATCCGATTCTACTTTCACTGCTAAAATTTAATTGGAAATTAATTCAAATTACCGGTAGCACAACTTTTATCGCGCTCCACCTGTAATACTTGATAGGTTTAATTTGTAGCGACTATGTAACGCGCGTTAAGTAGAAATCGCTGAAGATTAAAATAAATTTTAAATTTGGCTGAAAACGGCGTATAAATAAAACATTTAAATTAATTGATATTGGAATATCAACATACTAAAATTACGTAACATTGTCTTTTGCTTTTCGCCTTCTCTCTCGTCCTAAAAAAAAGCGTGTATTTAAATTCCACTAACGTCAATCTTAAAAAATTCTGAGCTTGGAATTTTTAAAAATAACATCGTCATTCATTCAGAGTTCCTCAATTATTCTCGTTACGGAATAAGAGTTTCGCTCGAGTAGGAGATACTCCTTTCCCTCTTCATCCTTTTCTTTTCTTAGCCTTTTCTCACTTTCGCGCTCATTAAAGTCGCCGACTCGTTGAAAGCGTGACTAGCGATTGCAAAGAGGGGAAAAAAAAAAAAAAGAAGCCTACGCCTACGAACGTGCCCATAAATTTGCACTTCTCGCAACTCGGTTCTCAAGGTTTCCTTCCCCGCCGGCCGCTCGTATAATCGCATTTTGATACCGCGGGGCGAATATGCAAGTCAAATGTTTCCTTCGCTCTCGCACGTTACTCAATATGCAAATATATAGATCTTTCCTCCTGGAATCCGATCTCGGTAATTCCGACGCGCAACTTTTACCTCGCCTCACCGGAGTCACGCCAAAATGGGTTGCGTTGCGTGCGTACGCGCGCGCGGAATCATGTAGGGCAGAGCGCGGCCGCAATCAGCTGCGATTTCTCATTGATATTGATGCAATTTCAATCTCTCGCGCAAAACTCGGTACGTTCCAGTAACACACTCTCGTGGAATAAATCGCTACCGCGCGAAAAATAATAAATGTAATTAAAAACGAGGGAAATGTAATGGCAGCTTTGCCGCACCGTGGAAACTCCTGAGAATTTCCATATAAATATAAAGACAGAAGCAAGAGCTGAAAGGCCGTTGCTGGGATGTATATAATGTACGGCTCTGAAACTTTATTAATTTTTACGGAGGCCATCTTCAATATTCAACGTTGTAAGAAATCGGATTACATTAATCTTACATATAAATATTATTCTTTGAATCGCGAAATTATCCGCGGCAGATGTTCGAATGGCTGGATGGCGGACTTCGCCGTATGCTGATACGGAGATAACATACAATCTTACTTAGGAAAGTCCGCGCTTCCCGCCTAAGCGCAGTCCTTGTGTTACTTTTCCGAGAGCGTCCGTCGTTTCCATCGCCTTTTAACGATTCTCCATATTTCAGCCGATGCGCGTCAAATTAATGTCGAGATATATTATAAATAGATATCCAGACAGAAATCGACGAATGGAAATCGACCGCTTTCCAAAATAAATAATTAAGAGCGAAAGTAATTGAAGATTCCACTTTGCACATCACCAATTTGCAACAACTTTTTTGACAACAAAGTAGGAAGAGCTTATTCTTCTTTTTATCGAAACACTTAATTAAGAAAAAAGTGACTGAAAGAATTGGCAGATTTGCGATAATAGATATGAAAGCGGAAATTGCGTTCTTCCCTTCGACTATTGCAGGAACTATCAAAAACCGCACGTCATTGTCTTCGCCGAATGTTATTGCTAATGAGAAATACCGGTTATTAAGGTTGGATAATGACTTATCATTGTAAGAGTGAAATTGTGCTCTCTCCAGTCCACATCTACTTATTGTTAGTCTAATCATCCATGATTCAATTCCAGTTCAGTTAGGAAATCATTCAGGGAGAAATGAACGTTATTATTTTCTAAATGAGTTTTTGCCCAAAAAAATGCGATTTCTGTTGAAAATGAAATTACAAATTGCTATTCTCGTATGATTGATTTCAACACGTCCCTGACCCAGGTGCCTAATTTTACTGCTCTGAATTGGTTCCAAAAAAAATCATCAAATTCTTGCAGAATTTGTCCGTAAATACGTAAAAAATAAAAATAGTGATTTCCACTCGATGCAAAGTTACAAATTGTTCTTTTTTTCGCACAACTAGTTTGGTATATATATATTTTGTTCCGATGTCTAACAACAACCTTGAAGCGTTTTGCAAAAATCACAATTTCGTTGCGCGTCCTTGCTGAACTTGAATGCCGAGACCGCAGTTGAACCGCAGCGGATTAAAGAAGTACAGCTTAATGACGCGACTCGCCGTCGTTTTGAGAGTGAAAATCGCTCTTACCCAATCCATGTCTGCTGCTTGGTCTAATTCCCCAGTGACTTAGTCTCGGTCTTCAGTCAGAGGATTCTCAGCTTGCACACATCGCGCGTCACGGTGCATCCGCTTGCGATGCACGGGGTCGGCTGCGGAGGCGAAACCGCCGCGTTTGCACTCGCGACCTTGCGTCTGTACGACGACACTGAAGAACGACGATTATCGATACCTAGCGAACGAGCTGCGCGAGGCACCGTTCTCCAAGACGAAGAGCGTACGACTGGCTTGGCGATCGCACGGCTGGTCCGGCGAAGGTGGACGGGTGCACTGTTACTTTCATGGGTCGTCTCCCATACTGCTGGCACCATCGTGGGACATGCCACCAGCCGGTGCGGGCCCCACCAAGCCGAACCGCGTTTCCAGTTCTTCGGGCCTATGCAAAATCGCCGGCGCGACGTAGCGGCGGTGGTGAAAGGAAGATATTTCTTCGCCGGCCGTCTTATTTCTCGACGCCGGCTCGCTTCTGTTCGCTGAGCGCGTAAGACCATGTGAACATTAGCGTCAAAGATGAAATTCTGAACGCATGACGACTACTGTTTATCTATTTTTTACGTATAGTCACAATATTCCACGATACAAGACGTTTCTCATGATAATGGTTGATTTATTAAGAAAATTAGAGAAATCGTTCCTGAAACGTTCAAAACTTGTTTCAAGATGTTTTGAAGATAGTTTACATCTGGCGATAGGAATATATATACATATATATTGCGCACTATACGTCGCGCATACATAATTTACATAAGTCATAGACTATTATTTACAGTTACTGTGTTTAGTTATTGATCGATAGACAACTGTTTTACTATATATATTTTATGAAATTGATTATTTAGATAAAATTGAAAAAATTATTATATTTGACAGTTAATTCGCAATGTAAAGGAGATAATGTACAAATATTGCATTACATCGATCATTAGAAATCGGAATTGTTTCTTCGAAAAGAAAAAGTCACGTTTCAACGTGACTGGAAGGTCAATGTCGCGCGATAAAAATTCTTTTGAGTTCCAACCGACTACTTTAAATTCCTGCCAATGTGAAAAGAAATGAAAATCGACATGTGCACGAAGTGATGATCCAATCATGTACCCGACATTCGTGCGCGTTTATCCACAAGTATTTTTAAATCATCTAATGCGCCATGCCAAAAATATTAAATTGTGAAAGAGTTGATTTCCGTTTTACAATTTCTCTTAAATTTAGCTCAAGCGGACTTGAGATCGAGACCAACACTCTCAGGATCCAACGTGGATTTCTTAAATCTTTTCCCTGAGCTATCTGCAAAGAAATAAAAAAAGAAAACCTCAGAACCGTATAATTTTCTATCAATCAATACGAATCGATTATTGCGTTTATTAAGACATATAATAGACGTTAAGAAATAAGTTACCTTTGAAGAAATGTTGCGCAGTGCGTTTTCTAATTTCCTCAATTCCTTCTTCCGCTTGCGCCCATTCAAGCACTAATCTTCGACCGTACAAATGAGTACTTTGACATAATGCTTTGAACGCTTTCTGGAAAAAGATGCGAATTAAAATTAACGAAAGAAGAATCGATGCGATTTTTACTTTTACTAGAATTCTTAGGCGTCTTTAAAAAAATTAATTTTTTTTACAATAGTTATATATATTAAATTTAATTGAATTTAAATATTAATCACCTTTGCATCTGTCTTCGTATAATATTCGATGAAGGCGAATCCTCTGTGCTTCTCGACGCCGACCAACTTTTTCGGCAATCGTACAGCCTTCAATTCACCATACGATCTACAAAAGTACAATTAAGTTACATTATGCGTTACATAAAAATATTTCCGTGAAAAATACGCGCAAAGTGCATACTTAAATAATTCCGTTATTTCTTGGACAGTTGCTTGGAAGGGTACGTTTCGTACCAGGATCTTCGTGCCAGTTTGTTCGGTAGATTTAGACTTCTTCCGCGTTGTTTTAACATCGGACCTAAAAAGATTCGCAATTATTTTGTGTCTCTGTTTTCTGACAAGGTAGATTAAAAGTAACGTACATTAATGTTCTCTCAGATCGCTTCAATTCCAAACTCTTCCCATCTAGCACTGACATCTGCAGCGTCTTCAATGCGCGATCCGCATCGTGTTTCCTCTTGTATCTCACAAATCCATATCCCATAGATAGCTTTTTAGCCGGATTTTCCGGATCTTTTTTAGTAACTATCGTGATGTAATGAACAGCACCGCATTTGCCGAAATACTGAAAGCATAAAGATATGTTGTCATTATATTTATTATACTAGATTACACACAATTACATTTTATTGACATAACAACATGGGCATAAAAATGAATAAAATGTACATTTCATTCATTTTTATACTTTAGAATCTTGTGTCATATCATTTGGCAGATCTAAACCTGTACATTGTAATGTTATATTTTAAAGAAAAAAATGGTCTAGAATTCTAGAATATAAGATTTCAATGCATCGCTATAAAGTACCAGGCTTATCAAATGACACAATTAAAAGTTCTAAGGCATAAAAATGAATATAGATAATGTCTTTTTTAAGAAAGGATTTATGCACTACAAAAACAACAAAAATAATTAGTTTTGATTACTTACATCTTTCAACTGTTCTTCCGTCGTTGCAAAATTGATATTTTTTACAAAAAGTACAGTATCTGGTTCAGGCGGCTCGTCATCTCTCTCTTTGTGCATATTAATCTTCTTTTCTTTAGAGTCTTTTGTTTTTACTTCATCTTTGACTTCTTCCGAGTTTACTGATACTTTTCCGGTCTTCTTATTTTTAATCGTATTCTTGGGTGCAGGCGTCGTAAAACTGTTATCCGGCGCCCATTCCAAGTATAATGGTAAATGTTTGTACTTCTTATAAGCTAATGAGAAAAAAGCCTTGCGCGCTTCAGATGGCTCCAGAAATTCGATCAATGCTGTTATGCCTGCCGGCGGCATTACGACACGCGCGAGTTCTCCGTGCTTGGCAAACATTTCTCGAATTTCACTCAATTTCGTCTCAGTCGGTAAATTTTTTACTAAAATTACAGTATCTGATCTCTTCTTCGGTGCTTGATTAAAAGCGTCCAAACATACACCGTTTTCTTCCAAAAAGGACCTCGTATCTTGAGTCAGTTGCGTTTCTCCCAGTGCCAATTTCACCGCCGCGCTCATTCCACTCGATCCGTCTTCCAATAACTTCTCCTTCGTCGTGTTATAACGATTCGCGATAGCATCTGCTACAGCGTTCTGTCCAAGAAACAATGTGTTCCAATTGTGTGACGAACCTGCGGCTATCTTATCCTGCAGCTCCTTCTTTTGTTTATAAGTCAAATTTTCCATATCAATATCTTCCAAGGAGGCTTTTGCCTTTCCGGGAAGAATGTGTAACATTCTACCGTCCAATACTGAACCATCCAATTCATTATAAGCTCTCACAGCATGCTCAGGCATCAGAAACGTCACCGTGCCAAATCCTTTTGGCTTTCTAGTCACTTTATCCACAGGTAAATTCACTTCAGACAGAGGACCATATGTTTCAAATAGTTTTCTTACGTCATTCTCCGTGGTTGTGTACGTCAGATTCCTGATAAACATTCTTCCAGACTCAGCTATACTCTCTTCATCCTTTAAGGCCTCTTCTTGTTTTTTCCATTTGACACTAGTTTTATTATTTGAGTCTCCATTAGATTCGGGTGCCTCTTTTCGCTCGTATTTGGATACAAATATCTGTTTACCGTCTACAAAAAAGAAATACAAAATATAAAAGAAATACAAAATACGATTAAAAATAGTAGCAAAATATTGTTCATTAACTATTTATTTTTTACCTAAAAAACTCTTATTTTTCACAAGAGCCTTCTTCATATCACGCTCAGTTTTAAATCCCACGTAAGCTATACCTTTAATCTTAGGTGGAATCCGTATAGAAACAGGTTTTAGGGGTCGGAAAAACTGTTTAATGTGTTTCTTCACATGTTTGTATCCAAGCCCTCGTATTTTTACAGTGAAGAATGTTAATGGACCATACTTTGGTTTATTCGTGAGTGATTTTTCTTCACATTTCACAGTCTGTTGCTTTTTCTTTAACGCTTCCATATACTAAAATTTTTGATAAAAATTTTATTAGTAGTAATAAAGTAGTAATAAAGTTTGTAGTTGGAGTATTATATACAGAAATAATCAGAATTATGATATACCTCTAAATCTGATATAACTTTGTCCGCAATTTTTTCTTCTTCATTTTCCTTTTCTTCATTTTCATCATCTTCACTTTCTTTAGACTTGTCATATTTATCATCTTCGGATTCATCATCTGATTTCTCAGTGACTGTCACAGGTATATCAATATCATTTTTCCAAACCGCTTTCGCAGCATTGCTAGTATGTGTTTCAAGGAATTCCATAAATAAAGGATCATCTTTGTGCTAAATTCAAAGCCACATAACAATTTAATGTCATATAAAAATTTAATAATTTATCTTTAATTGATAAAAACAGCAATAATCAACCAAATAAAAATATTAAAGTAAGAATTTTATTATACCTTCTCCAGTACTTCCTTAACTTCATTATTTTTCTTGTTGTCTGCTTTCTTCTTTTCTTTCTTTTTATCACTTTTACTCTTTACATCATCCTTTCCTGCACGATTAAGTTTTTCCTTTGATTCAACATTAGAACTTTTAGCTTTGTTATGGGAGCTATCATTTGCATATTTACTCCAAGATCTCGGTTTTGATAGATCACCTGAAACATACATCAAGGTTAGCTTATTTATGATAACACGATTATTTACAATTCTATACTGTACCTAAACTGGCACATGCTTCAACGGATATTTTACAAGTGTCTACAAATGTTTGATCAAAATAAGACTGTGCCAATTTCGCTTGTTCTTCCGTCTTATATCCGATAAATGCAAATCTTCGAAACTTTCCATCTTTCGTGTATTTCAACTGGACATCAGTCACAATACCCTTTTGACTGAATAACTCTTTTAGTTTGGTGTCTGTGGTCTGCAGGCATCAAGTAAAAAAAATTAATATATGTTACAATGTTGGGTGAAAAAACACTATACATCGTCTACATACATTTTTTGGCAAGTTTTTAACTATTAAACGTGACATCTTGCTTCATCGATAGTTTATTGCATTAAGAAGCGAATAATCCTTTTTCTCACGTATATGTTAAATAGAAATCATGCATTGATGTATACGCAATTTAAGCATTCAGACACAGTAGATCACAACGAACACATGGCATAAATGCACACAAATGGAAAGGTTACGCTAGGTTTTGCTTTTGCATCAATAACACATATAATAGATCAGCATTCGTATTTTATCTTTGGAGAACGCGCAACGGCCAGAAAACGCCTAATCGCGTCCTTCAATTTTTATTTCTCTTATTTTTAGGATCCCTGAGTGAAAGACAGCTAAAGCGTTATCATATAATATAACGGATATAACTCGAAAACTCAAACAATTTTAATCAAGATCAAATGATTTGAGCCTTGGCTAAAAATGATTACATATTATATTGAAATCATTTATATTAATTGGTAATAATAATTAAATAATAATATACAGATTAAATTGTTTTGCAAAAATAAATATAACGTTACAAAGTTTGTAGAAAACATTTTTTTAATTAGATTTTTTACCATCTGCGTAACTTATCCTTCGCTTACGGAGTAAACATATTATGGTGTTATGTTCCTCAGAGGGCGTTCAGGAAAATTTTCGGGTCATGCGATCTGCCAAATAGCTGTCGATCATCTCTAATAGCACTTTGTCTGTGACGAAAGTTTTGTTGTCCTTCCTCGCGCCTGTTTCGCTGTTTATAACCGAATTTGTGGAACAAACTGTGCGATTCCCAACGATGAGCGCTGAGGACGAAGTGCTACGCATTCAGAAGAAGCTCAACAAAATGTCGAGCGGTGATGGGACGGTGAGTAAAATGAAGATTAGTATATTGTTCTGATCGTGTATAAAGAGGAAGCCTTCCGATGGAGAAGGCGCTGCTTTTATAACGATATGGAACACCTGCTGTATTATCGATATAAAAAACGTGGGTGAACAACATCATTCTGATATTGTTTTTATTTTAATAATATTTATTAACTGTGGAATACAGTATCGACAGTTCACTGGATGTATGTTTACTACTAAATGTAAAAAGGATTGAGTATTTTAACATCTTGAATTAAATATATTTTAATTTTCTATATCACATGCTTCAATATTTTTAATATAATATTTTTTGTAATACCATCTGTTACTAGTTTCTTATAGTTAAATTAAATTATTTATTGTTATAGTTAAAGTACAGTTCGGTTCAGATGCTTTGCTGTTTCTACAATTATTTTTGAGATGCAAAGAAATGCAAAAAGTATTAATACTAATGTATAGAAATATTGATATTGGTATTGAAATGATACTAAGACGGTATTAAGATAGAAATATTTAGTTGAACCTGATTGTTTATGTGATGTAATCTATTTTTTTATTAGGGCCAGGAACAGGCTTTGGAATTGCTTAAGATACTTCAAAAATTGCCTGTTAATTTGGATCTCTTAACTAAGACACGCATTGGGATGACCGTGAATGCTTTAAGAAAGTCAAGCAGAGACGAGGAAGTTATTTCTTTATCAAAAACTCTTATTAAGAATTGGAAGAAGTTTTTATCGGGTACATTTATATACATTATACTGAAATAATTAAAATATGATTAATTTTGATGTATAGATTATTAAAAAACACAATCTGTATATTAGGCTCTAATAAAGACAAAGATTCCACTTCATCGAGTAGCTCGAAGAAGAAGGATGAAAAGTTAGACAAGGGGAAGGAAGAATTTGATCAGAAAAAGGAAAAGGACACCACAGATGCGGCTGATGTTAAAATGAAGGAAGAGAAACCTAATAAAGACTTTCAGAGAAAGCAACAATCCTTTCCCGCTCCTACCACAACTGATGCAGTTAGATTAAAATGCAGGGAATTGTTGGCAGCGGCTTTACGCATAGATGGGAAAGTAATCGATGGCTGCGCCAGTCCAGAAGAGTTAGCGGAAGAATTGGAGGAAGCAATCTATGCGGAATTCAAAAATACTGATAACAGATACAAAAATAGGGTAATTCTGCACATTTATCTATCTTACATATGTCAATTTTGCTTATATTATCTACGTACAAGAGTAATCTATGTTCTTAACTAAAAATTGTCCACAATTAATGATTTCGTGATTTGATTACAGGTACGCAGCAGAGTCGCCAACTTGCGCGATATGAAAAATCCCAATCTGCGGACTAACTTCCTCGTGGGCGCGATTACGCCTGCTCGACTCGCGGTGATGACTGCGGAAGAGATGGCAAGCGACGAGATAAAACAGCTACGTGAACAGTTTAAGAAAGAAGCCATCAATGACGCGCAACTTGCCACTGTGCAGGGAACGAAGACCGACTTGCTCAAATGCGGCAAATGCAAGAAGCGCAATTGTACGTACAATCAAGTACAGACGCGTTCTGCCGATGAACCGATGACCACCTTTGTTCTGTGCAACGAATGCGGAAACCGATGGAAATTCTGCTAAGCTCCGATCCTAAGTTTCTTGATTTGTACACTATCGTAATGCGGTGAAATATCTCTTGACAATTCGCCTAAAGTTTAACACATACGAGATGAGTTGATTAAACATCGTGAAAGTCGCGTGTATCTATGAATTCTCGATTGTCGTATTATGGTTTCTTTTCTTTTTTCGCCTTTATTGATTATAGATGCAATGCATGTTTCGTACCTCGAATGGAAATTTTATGCCTCCAGCGAATATGAAATTTTTATTTAAAGGAGACAATTATTTCATGAAATGATGAACGCAGCCGCATTTGTGGTACTCTTTTCTTTTTTTGACTTTCTGATCATGTTCTTCTTTCCTTTTGTCTAACTTCTCATCCTTCTTCGAGCTACTCGATGAAGTGGAATCTTTGTCTTTATTAGAGCCTAATATACAGATTATGTTTTTTAATAATCTATATATCAAAATTAATCATATTTTAATTGCATTCAGCATAATGTATATAAATATAAAATAAAAAATTGTAACCGATTACCTATATTTAATAATAATACAATTTTCTAAATGATAATGAAAACATTTAGGATAATTAGGGAAAATATTATTTATTTGAATTAGATATTGTTTATAGTCAATTCTCATCTCGTCAACGAGACTTGCTTAGGCAGAATCATCACTTTGTTATCACGTGTAAAAACCGAAGTGAATGCATCCACGTTATCATTGTTTTATACTTTCCCGGTGCGGTATTCCCGATATTCGAAACAATTCGAGTAATTTCAAGGCGATTTAAAGTAATGAAGTCAGATAAAAAGAGGATAGAAGGGAGGAGACAATCTATAATACGACAATCAAGAATTCAACATATCAATTTTCACATCACTGTATATAAACCAATCTATTAAATTTGAATTCTCAGAGTTTAATGCTATATACAGTAGAGCTGTATTTTTACGCGCACGGCTCTGATTTCTCCATTTTCATGCACTCTTCTTCTTCCACTGAAATTAAGAAAAGCAAAATCGTAAAAATACAGAAATTCTACTATAAATATAGTTCTTAAAGTATGTGAACATTTTAATTAAAGCATTTTTATTCTATTTACTAGATTGCAATTTTTGCGATTTTGATTGTAAGTCTCAATTTGTAGATGGAAACTTGCCCATTGCAAGTCTTCACTTATGCATATAATGGAACGGTATAAGTAGATCACTTTGTCATTGTGCTGCATGAAATTCAGATGATTATAAAAACTATTTGCGTCTATAATTATGAAATATATAAAGATGTATATCGTACAAAACTATCGTTTGCTTCATTCAATTACCTCTAATATTCTGCGATTATTCTTGATTTTATCCAAAGGCCTGAAGATCTAATATTTCCTTCTACGATGTTCTTTTCATGAAACAATTTAACAAGATTAAAATTAAAAAAAATGTTTTTACTGAAATAAATCCTAAAATCGTTCAAAGCCGTCCAAGAAACAACTTTCTACTCGGCGAGTGCTTATTCGAAGGTTGCCATTAAAGCAAAGCTCATCAGAATACTGTGCTATGTCGAAAGACTGTAACATTTAACACAATTACATATTTTTTATTTAAAATTATTTTTACGAGGTACATTTATATACATAAAAAATTTATGACTATTACATTAAGCTTATGCAATATAGACAATATATTCGTGCATGTGTGTGTAATAACGTAACAGTAGAGCTCTATTAAAATCCACATTTATACTCGGCGTTCGGATAAGAACTTATAGCATTTACATCTAATTTGTATCAATTGCCATGAGTGGTGATACCGGAATGTCATAAGTTTCTCTCCTTTTTCTCTCTCTCTCCCTTTCGCTCCAAACAGAAGCATCGTTCGTGCCGATTCTATCCAAACAATAAAAGAGTTGGAAAGATTAAGATCCGCTATTTAGAACCAAATTTGCCAACTTAAAGATGAATATCAATTATCAGACAGCCACACGCTTTCATCTCAACCTTTAAATATGGCCGTTTGATTCTTTAGCACAATTATATTGCAATCTTTACAGGAGAAATAAATAAAATTTATTTAACGCGGAAATATATTGAACGCGCGGATACGAGTGCGGACCTACGTCTTTTCAATATTTCAATTGCTTAGATAGCAGAATGGACTTGACGAGATGAAGCAAACGCGTGGAGGAGAGGGATGTTATGCTAGGCAGGAATATCAGGATGAAGAACGTTAACCAGGATGTGACGTTTGTAGGCCCGCGATAATAATACGCGACATCTCTCCGTAAGCTTCGAAAAGAGCTCACCCTCGGTTTGGGGGGGTGAGCTGTACATCCTCTTTACGTCGCAGCAATGCGACAAGCATGAATGATGATGCCGCGAACAGCCAATTCGCTCTTAAATTATAAACAAGTAAATATGCATCTCTCTTTCCTTCTTTGTTGAAAAGTATCTTCGATAATATTATAACAAAGTCATTTACTGTCTCAAGTCAATGACTGATGCGCTGACGAATCGTCCTAACATTTTTCTTTTTCTTCTCTCTCTCTCTCTCTCTCGTTTTAATTAGTTTACTGTACACACATAGGCTGGACTCGTACTTATACTTAATATACATCGAGTCGATCTTTACACGCAACGTTTCCGCGGTAAACTTTTATCGGGACAAACATTTAACAGACACTTGAGATTCTTGCGATACATGGATATACAATGTACATATATCGG